GGGTGCTGCCCCGTGTCCCCTCCGCCCGCGGCGCCGGGCGGGTCCGTCCCGGGGCGGAGCTCAGCCCTACCGGGATCGGGCCATCCCCGGTCCCAGACCGCCCTCAGATCGCTCCGGTCCCACACCAGTGTCCCCAGTCCCAGACCGGTCCCCCCATCCCATGTCTCTCTCTCCCCCAGTCCCAAACCAGTCTCCCCAGTCCTAGATCAGTCTCTCCAGTCCTAGATCAGTCTCCCCAGACTCAGACTGGTCCCTCCCCAGTCCTAGATCGGCCCATTCTCAGTCCCACGTTGGTCCATCCCCAGTCCCAAACTAGTCACCTAGTCCCAGACCAGTCCTCCCCAGTCCCACATCGGTCCATCCTTAGACTCAGTTCAGTCCACCCCCAGTCTCAAACCAGTCTCCCCAGTCCCAGATCAGTCTCTGCAGTACCACACCAGTCTCCCCAGTCCCACATCAGTCTCCCCAGTCCTAGATCAGTCTCTGCAGTACCAGACCAGTCTCCCCAGTCCCAACTCAGTCCATCCTCAGCCCAAGTCAGTCCATTCCCAGTTCCAAACCAGTCTCCCCAGTCCCAGACCAGTCTCCCCAGCCCCAGCCCAGTCTCTCCAGTCCCAGCTCAGTCCATCCCCGGGCAGTTCCCTCCTGCATTGACCCCAGGTCCCGGATCCGTCCCTCCCTGGCAGCGCCCAGCAGCCCCAGCCCAGGCCAGACGCACCCAGCCCGGGGCCACGGGCCATGGCAGGGTGTAAAGGACCATCTGCAGCCTGACTTCGGAGGGGTTTTTCTGGGATTACCAGATTACACACGCATTTCTTGGAAGAAAACCACAATTACTCCCATGTGGGTAATACAGAGAAATGGGAAATGTATGGAGCTGCACAGATGGTATAATAAAAATAATGATCTAAGGTACACAACCTTGACTGTCATTTCTAATAAATAATGGCTGTAACAGCCCCTGTTTTTAAACACCCGACTGATCCTAATCAGATCCCCCCTGTGAGATTTGGGGAGAGCCAAAAACATCTTTTGCAATCAGATAGGGTTCGGAGCATTTTTTTTATTTTTTTTTTTTCCGAGAAACAAGTTAAGCTTTGCAGGGAGGGGGTTGCACTGCCGTCCCCTGAGACACCAGTTCTGCCTCCCTGTATTGGCCGGAGACTCCCTGGTAAAGAATTCTTTCTTTTGTAAAGAAAGTTCTGGCAAATTTGGGATATTTTAAAGGGGCTTCATATAATCGAGGTTCTCCACCTCCTTGTCCCCTCTGGAGCTCAACAAGTTGGAGACTAATTGCAACCCTGTTGCCAGCGGGGTGATTCCATCACCTCTGGCTTCATTTTGGCTCTGGGACTTCATGGGCAGCCTGGAAAGGCAAAAATCTCAGTTCCCTGGGGTGAGGGGAGTCCCAGATGGAGGAAGATAAAATAATAAACTCCTTAAAATGTTTTTTTCAGGTGCTCACCTTGCTGGCTGTGGCAGGCTGGAAGGGAGTGAGATGCCCCACAGCCCTGCCAGTGACTGGCAAGGGAAAACACAAAACACACCCTGGGGCAGGCAGCAGGGCAGAGAATTTCTCGAAGACTATTTCCGTGTGTTGGAGCAGCACCCCAGGAAGCTCATTCACACTTCGGCAGAGCGATTCTCCCCGCACCAGAGGCACCGGGCTTTCAGGAGGGGTGATGTGATGCGGGAGAGCTGAGAGCAGCCAAGCGTGCAGTGCTCTTCGAGATGTAAAAAGAAGTGGAAATTAGCCCAGATTTACCTGCCTCGGGTCATGCCTTCCAGTGCCCAGAAATCCTAAAGCCACCACAGGTTTCACTGATGTAGGCCAGAGGGGAAAAAAAATCTATATATTCGCCTCTCAAATTTGGGGGAAATTGGGTTTAGGAGATGCTATTTGGGCAACAGCTGTTGCTGTGATGCCAAGCAGGGGTGATGCTGCAGATTGGAGGGAGCATCCTTTGTGATGCCCCGAATCAGGGGGATTTTTCCAGGGGTAACAGCTGCTTCGGTGCCGCAGCTCCGTGGGGAATGAGTCCCGGGATGGCCGGTTGTAGGACAGGAGGGGTCACGGCCGTCCAGGCTGGTGCAGGTGACGGGACAGCAGCGCTCCACAGAGGTTATCCCACCTACTGCAGATCTAATCTCTGCTTATCACATATCTCCGATGACTTCCTATTAACACCAGAAACCAACTTTCTTCTCTTTTTTTTTTTTTTTCCTGCGCACAAGTTTCATTTTTCTGCTTCCTAAAATGATAACAGAGGCATTAAATCCAGTATCAACCCAGTTTGCTCAACCTCTCTTCACTTCATCAGCACCATTTATGGTCCTTGATCTCATTAATTGACCAGGGTGCTTTCCTGTAGGCATGAGCCACACTGTATAGAATAACAGCCAAAAGGATCCTTCTCTCAACCTAAAAAGACAAGGAAAAGCCCCATAATTTTCTTCCCAGAACCCTATACATTATGGCTAAACACTGATTCTTTAAAATTTTTTATTTTACTGGTGGTTCTCCTCAAGAAAATCAGATGCATCCCTCCAGTCCCACGAGGAACAGCACAAATCAAGACCAGCCATCCTCATGGTTTTAATCACTCTCCTCTTTATTAGGAATTGGGCAAGTCACCCCCCGGTGCTGACACACTCCAAGTACCCAGAAATTTTCATTAAGGGAATTCCTAGAAATATTGGAAAAGCTTTGGATGTTTGGTTGGTTTGTTTGGGGTTTTTTTTTCTCAGAACAGATATTTTTGAGAAGCAAGGTATTTATAGTAAAAGGCCAAACTGGCATGGAAGAGTTGAAGGTTTAAATGTAGAAGGGCTGCCTCGATGAGTTGGGCCCCCCGCCTTGTAGGGCAGATGTGGGGAGTCCTGGTAAAGGAAGCCCACGCTTTGGAAATGCACTGTGTGAGTCTGGGATGAAAAAAGGGGCACGGTCATCGTCTTTCAAGATTAAAAAGGCTGTTGGAGAGGGACAGCGTTAACTTGGTCTGCAGGTCGAACAAGCGATTGGCTTCTTTTGCAAGCGGGGACATTCAGGTTGGGCAGCAGGGGAAACCCAAACCGCTCCAGCTCTGGGGATGGAGGTGGAGGGGACGGGCAGCCTCCGGCGCTGCTGGATTTCCCCCTCCTTGGGGGGGGGAGTTAAGAAAAATGCCAGACAGACATCAGCCAAGGACATGCTCACCAGGAAAGTCCAAACACAGCCAGGGGTAGCTGCAGCCCCCAGAGCCTCCAGCCCCTCTCCCCATCCCACGGGGTGACAGCTGGGCTCGGCAGCACACCCATGTCCCAGGACCCATCCCTCCCTCCTCGGGGCAGCCTCACAGACTGTATCATCCCCCAGCTTCATTGCAAAGCAGAAGACAAGGTGGTGTCTCCCCATCTCATCCTGCTCCGGCTTTCCAAGCTCTGCGTCGGCGTCCCTGTGCCCTGCCAGAGGAGCACCTGGGTACCGCGCCGCTGGGGAGAGGGATGGGGCTTGCTGCTGCGCTGAGCGGTGGAAAAGTAGCTGCAATCCACTGAGAAATGGAGGAATGGGAAAGAGCATGACACTGTCACCAGTTCACTGGCTTGCCCGGAGGTATACACAGAGCTGGCAGCCAAGGGGAAGGTCTGCAAGTCCTGACCCCCCTGCTCCAACCCTCAGCCCACAGCCAAGGCCAGCGCTGGCTGCTCGCTGCCCCAGACATGAACCCCCGTGGGCACTTGGCAAAGGGAAGACTTGAGTTTTCCAAGGCCCAGGGCCAACGTCCGCCTGCGAGCAGCCAGCTGCTTATCTGTTCATCCATCTGCTTCTGCTGGTGCCACCTGCGTGGTAGGGGAGCGGGTAGGTGGGAGCTGGAGAGTGGAGCCAGGAGCGATCCCTGCTCCCCAGCTGCTGCTCCTTCTGCCTCTGCTCCTGCTGGGCCAGCAAGCACTGCAGCTCCTCCTGGTCCTTGAAGGGGTTCCTGCCATAGTCACGGAGGATCCAGGCACGGTACTGCCAGGACAAAGCCAAAAGAGGTTGTCAGGGTCACTGGGGGCTGAGACACCCCCAGCTCAAGAGCCAGGGCTTCCAACAGTGGAAAGCAGTGAGCCGAGCAGGGGCAATGCCTGCCGCATCCCCACCACAGCCTCAGACGAGGCCGGGGGATCCCCAGCCACAGCCAGCAAGCAGAAAGGCCCCAATTCTGCAGGAGCTCACACACCACATCATACAAGAGATACATGACAGTTCCCCCACAACCGAGCGCTCCCCGCATCCCCAGCCTGGCACAGATGGACCTGGAGAGCTGGCAGCATCCTCGGCTTCTCACGCTGGCTGCAGCCAGGACGGCAGCTTTATTTACTTTTCATTGCCAAGAAGCTGCTGTTGTTCCTTGTGTGCCTGAATTCCCGTAAGAAAATCTTCCCTATGCTCCCTCCCCCGGGGACAGGCTGCACCGGCTGCCACAAGCTGCACAGCCAAGGTGGCTCTTGCGTGCTGAGGCAGGTTTGTTTGCAGAGCATCTCGCTCGCTGACGGGCAGTCTGGGGGTGTCTCTTGTGTCCCGTCCCCCCTCCACCACTGCAGCCAGCTGCAAAAACTGCTACGGTGGCCAGTGGCCAGCTGGCAGGAGGCTGAGGTCCAGAGATGGCTGGGAAACAAGAGACAATCTGTAGAAATGTTTCCCGCTACTGCTGGGTTGAGAAACAGCCAGACAGGCCCAGACTGCAGCACCCGAGAGCGTGGGCAGGAATGGGCAGCTCTGCCGGGACCCGTCGTGCTCGTGGGGAGCGGGCAGGGCTTTGCTCTCTCACAAAGGAGCTGGGAACCAGCTGCTCCAGCAAGCAGGAGTTACTGGGATGAGTGGTAGGAGCACACCCAGCAATACCAAACACCTTACAGAAAGGATGGAGGATGCAGAGTTGGGAATGCAAAACCTGAGGGTGCAAAGGGTCCAGAGAGGGACTGAGCATCCGAGCCCCGGCACAGGGTAGCACTGGGACAGGCCTGGGGTGCAGCTGGGGCAACCAGAGGGAGAGGGCAGGTAGCCCCCAGGGGTTGCCCAGCCTCGATACCCCCAGGGCAATGCCCCTGCAACAGCTCTGGCATCCCGGGGTGCCACAGCAGCACCCCACGGCCGGGAGGCAGAGCTCATGGCAAAGGTGCGGGATGGGGGATGCGGGATGCAGGACGAGAAGCTCAACCCTGTCCTGCCGGGGCTGCCGCAGGCACGAGGGCCAGGAGCTGCAAGAGGAGAAAGTCTGAGACTGACCCTGCAGCTGGGGACAGTCAGCTCGGACAGAGGGGATTTCCACTGGGAATGTCTAGATTTCCCAAATCCGCTCCCTTGGACAGTGGGACTCGCCACGGCTGCAGGGCACTCGCAGCCTGCAAACAAGAAGATTCCTTTTTGGGGGGGACCCTGAGAATCCAGCCTGATAGAAACCAAACCCCTGGGAAGTGAATCCCGAAGGATTTGGGACAGGATTCGGGGCAAGCTTCTATGCCAGCTGCTTATGGGGGGAGCATCCCTCCCATGCAAACCATCCGGAGGGATGAAGCTCTGTGGGGACACAGCCTGGGCACTGAGGCTCAGCACCCACCGAGGCTCAGCACCCACCACCCAGCCAAGGAGGGAAGGAGCCGGCGGGAGGCCGGGGGAAGCACCCTGCTGCTGCTGCCAGGCGTTTCCTTTTAAAGCCAGAGCAAGAAGTGGTTACAGCCCGTTTCCTCCAGCACTGACCACTAACCCGCTGCCCTCCTCCTCCCCCCTGAGGCCAGGAGCATCCATCCCATCTGGGACAGCACCGGGAACGGGGAAAGGCAGCCTGGCCACGGTGTGCCAGCACCGTGGTGGGGACCTTGTGTTGGGAGGGGACGGGTCCATCACCCAAATACCCGTCTATGCCCTCTCTCATATCCACACTGTCTTCTCTGCACTCACTCACTTCCTTTTCTAACCTTACCATCATCCTGCTGCTGCTCTTGGACCCTTCCTTCCTTCTTTATCTATCTAGCCCCAATAAGCACCATTTGCTGGCTCAAAACCACAGCTGCACGCTCGAGGCGTGTTTCCTGCGGCGAGAGGCCAGCTGGCCAGTCCCAGAGAGCATCTTCCCCATTTCTACCTCCCAGGGTCCCGTCTGAAGTCCCTGCTCTGGATCAAGGAAACTGAGGCACCAAGGGATGCTCACCCACAGCCCCAAGCAGGAGGTCCCCAGGAGGACTGACCTGTTCCTCACAGGTTTTAACCAACAAGAAATAAGGTTTTTCCTCCTGAGCAGCCTGCCCAGTCCTTATCCCTGCCTTGCTCCCAAGCACCGCATTTCCAAATTGCTGCCCGCCCCCTGGCTAAATAGGGACATTTAACCTCTTTTATATCCTCAGCAAGAGCTGAAGTTTAGGCCACGATACCCTTTCCCCCACATCCTACCTACACACACAGAAAATCACCCCAAAGCCACAAACGGGAACAAGGGGTGACCTCCCGCAGCCAGGCTAAGCAAGCCAACTGCTGCTGGCACCGAGCAAAGCACAGGAGCCCTGTGGCAACAGGTCCCACGGGCTCCTGGCCACGCAGGTCCACACCTACGGATCCCACCACCCCGTGGGACCCGCAGCCATCCACCTCAGCTGACCTTCCCGCAAGTCCCCTTCCTCTTGCCAAGGCGGAGGGCACAGGGGCAGGCTGGGAAAAGGGCATCGCCGCTGGGGTTGGAGCATCCATCCTGGCTCTTCCTCTTCTTCAAGTGCAGCTGTGGGTGAGTAATGCCAGCGTGTTCCCTGCTCCAGCACCCAGCCTTCGCCGCCGGGGCCGTGCTAGCAGCAAGTCCACCCACGAGAGCCATCGGCAGCCTCCCTCCCCGGTGCTGCGCTCGGGGGGGTGGGGAGCGCAGGGTGTTTCAAGTAAAAGGTGACTCTTGCCAAACCCCGCGGCTGAGAAAAACGTATCCACCCTTGGCTCTGCCTTTGGTATTTTCAGGGAAACACTTGCAAAACCTCCAGCAAAACTCTGACGGGATGAAAAAAAAAAAACAGCGTCTAAGGGAAAGGGAGGAAAGTCTGGTGCCTGCTGAGCCCAGGATTTGGGGGAGCAGGAGGAATAGCTTGGGTGGAGTGGGGGCACAGAAAACCCCACATCACGCTCTGTGCTGGGGTGCAGCCAGAGCGTGGGAAAGGTTGGGGAGAGCCGGCCTGGCTGGGGGAAGCCCCACAGGGAATCTCCAGCACCCTGGGTGTTTTGTAATCCCTTGGACCATTTTCTGCCCTCCTCCGCCTGCGTTTGTGCAAACCAGTGATAACGGGGCAGGGCTGCATCCCTCATGTGACAGCGCCTGCCTGCTCCAGCCACCGCCCGGGGAAGGGAACTTGGTGGCAGGGAAGGGGCTGACATTTGGGCCAGTGTCACATGCTGTCCCTGCCTCTCTCCTGGGAGGACAAAAATCCCCCTGAAGAGCTCAGCGTGGCCGGAGGCACCACCAGGTTCCCGCTGCTGTTTGCCGCGGGGCCACTCCATGATGCTCGTGGCTGCAGCGGATGGAGGGATTCACCTCCAGGGACAGAACCAAGTTTAGGGGTGACGTGGGCTGCGAGGTGTCTCGGACACGTCGAGTTGTGGGTTACTCCTTCCTTGCAGAGGTCCAGCTGTGGCCCGTGTGGCCTCCCGGGGCAATTTTGGACCCCAGTCCTTGGGTGCAGAGCCCAGGGCTGGGTGGAGGAGCAAGGTCCAGCGTGGGAGGCTGGAGGGCGGCCAGGGAGCCGGGCGGGAGCTGTGCTTTTAAAGGCCTTTCCCTTTGCTTTCGAAGGCTTTCCGGGTCAAAAGTGCAGCTCTGATCTCTGCAACAAGCACCCTGCCAATTCAACACACCAGCTCAGCTCAGCTCCAACATCCCCCTCCCTTGCGCGGGACGGGAACCCACCCACCCAGCCAGGGTTTCTGCTCTCCTAAAATCTGCTGCTCCGTGTCATTTTGGGCAGGAAAGAGGAGAATCTCTCCATCAACACTTGCTCTTGTCTCCTGCCTCTGAACGCAAAGGGCTTGCTGTCAGAGGAAGCCCAGCCAGATCCAAGCACATCCAGACATCCCGAAGCCTCTCGCAAGAGCCTTCCTCCCTCTCCTCTCCCCCTTCCCGCTGGCTCCCGCTGCTCTGCATTCCCAGGAAGAGGCCCAGAGCCCTTCCCGAGAGTCCTTGGGGACTTGCTGCTGGCCTGTCCCCCCCGCCACGCTGTGTCCTAACTGAACTCTCGAGAAAAATCACTGGGGTTTTAAAGAGCTTTTTTTACGTGCACTCGCATAACTTTTTTTTTTTTTTTTGGCATGCAAAACCCCAAATCCCCAGGTAATAAATAGCATGCACAAAGGCCAGCTCAGGCAAACAGCTGGCCCCCGGCAGTGAGCTGCATGCAGAAGAGCCCCCGCACGTTTGCAATCTCTGCAGACACGTCTATAAGGGGACGTCGGCGCGCGGGACGTACCTCCTGCAGCAAGGTCACCTCGTACTCCTGCAGCTGCTGCTGGAAGCCAAAGTTGGGGCTGACGTAGGACCGCACGGCCTTGGTGGCGGCCAGGCAGCCCTCCCAGCCGAGCTCGGTCACCGTCATGAGGTAAGCCACCAGGATGGTGGTGCTGCGGGAGACCCCAGCCAGGCTGGCGTGGCGCGAGGGAGCGGCGTCAGGGATGGGTGTTCCCAGCACGGAGACTGGTGTGACCGTGCAGCAAGGGACGACCATGGGATGCACCTTCCCACGGGCACCCCCCATAGCTGGGGTGAGCTAGTGGGGGTTCCCCGGGCAGGTGTTGGGTGGGGGTAAGGAGCTGTGTGGACAGCAAGCCGCTGCTGGTGGCCCCGGGCAAGGTGGTTTCCCCCTGTCCCATCCTCTAGCCTGTGCCACCTCTTTGGGTGCTCAGGTTGTCAGTGACCACCCACCCCCATGGGTCTTGGCATCGGAGACCTTCCCCCGTTGCCCGCCTGCTGTTCCTTGTCTTCTCCTCTTCTTCCTCCCCACCACAAGTGAGACCAAGGAGGTGTTTTGGGAGCCCATCCCCACCTCCCAGAGGACCACCGCCACCCGGGGCTGCGGTGCGGTGACAGCAGCTCTCACCAATGGACGAGGCAGCCTCCCCCACCGAGCCGGCATTCGTGGATGAACTTGATGCACTCCTTAAAATGCTGCAGCCTGCAAGGAGAGAGGCAGGGAGGTGAGGAAGGGAGGACTGCCCACCCCTGCAAGGCACCAGGTCACCCTGGCAGCAGCGGTTGTGTCCCCACCCAAGGACTTCCCACCACCCTGGGGCCACCAGAGTGGGGTGGGAGCAGAGATCCTTCCTCTGCCAGGCGAAGGCAGAGGGGCTGATCTTCATCTGCCAGGAAGGCAATGACCTCGGAGACTTTCCGGGGGATTTCCTTCTTCCCAAGGCATCCAGATGGGAGCAGGGTGATGCCAGCAGCCAAACCAGCTCAGGGGGACCCCAGGGAGACACCTCCAGGGCCCAAGGGCTACACACACCCCCACATCAGAGACCGTCCTGAGCCATCAGCTCACCCCTAATTCCCAAACGATGTCAAAACCACCCGGTTCCCTTCCAAGGGCAAGATGCCAGCGGAGAAGGCGGCAGGGAAAAGGTGGCTCCTGAGGTGTTTTGCCTGCAGGTTCCAAAATGGTGCAAATCCCTTCCTCTCCTCATCCCCAAGCAGCCCCTCTGGCCCCTTCCCACCCAAGGGAGGGCACAGAGAGGTGTCTGTGCCAGGGATGTGGGGCTGCCAGGAACAACACAGGCTTGTCCCCAGAGAGCTGCCTGCATTCCTGAAAGCATAACCAGCAACTGCCCTAACCAGTAACTGCCCTAACCAGTACCTGCTGGCAAGGCAGAGGGAGCACATTAACCCTAACCAGTGAGTTTTGCAGCAAAGCAGGGCAGGGCAGGGAGCCAGGGTTTTTTGGCTGCTCAGCTGCCGCACACTATGGCGCTTCTCTGCTTCTGAGCTGGATGCTCAGCAACGAGCGGCACCCATCTTTTTGAAGACATGGAGACCTAGAAAACAGGATAAATAACTCTGTAGGTACTGATGAGATGGAGCGGGGTGTTCATGCGAGGGTTACGCAGGCTCTGGTGAGACACATCCCTCCCGCTCATCACTGTATGGGATGCTGGAAGCTGCTGCTGATCCCTCTCAAAGACATTGGGCGTTTCCAAGAGGCCACGCCAAGACAGGTATTTGGCTCCTCAGCACATTTTTGCAATAAATTCTGCCCATCCTTGCTCACCGTCACAGCCGCACGGAGCCTTGGGGTAGTTTTGAGGCAGAAAACCTGATTCTGGGTAACTTGGGCTGCTGATAGACTCCCTGACCTGACTGCCTGGCATATAATCCTGATTTTTCAGGAGAAGGAGGAGAAGAAGGTCCCTTCGGTGCAGCTGAGCCAGAGCTGAGCAGCGAGCGCAGGAGGCGGCAGCACCTCTGCCCTGGTGCTGGACTTCCTCTGCCTCCGCGTGATGGGATGGGCCTGCGCCTGCACGGCCTTCCTGATTTCTCAGAAGCCAAGGCACGAGCTACCGCAGAGTTATTCCCCCCATGCCCCAGCAAGAGCTCGCTCCTGGCGGGACTCAGAGCCGGCTTCCCTGCGGGGACAAGGCAGAACCCTCCAAAACTGCCCCCATCCCTGGCAGGCCATTGGAAGGGATGTTCTTCACCCTGCCCTGGAAGAGCAGCGCCTTCTAAGAAACCAACCAAGGACATATTAAAAAAAGAGCTGCCTGATAAGAGATGGGGAATCTCTGAAGCTGTGATCATACTAAAAATATTGAGCCTCTCAGCCCTGGGAGGAGATGTCAGTCCATTGCTCCTCGTGGGCTACAAACGTGCCTCCTCCTCCTCAACCACCATAATAAATGGAGCATTGCCATCTGGGGGGGTGTGTGTTTCCCTGCCAAAAGCTTGTTCTGGGGGATTTTTCTTCATCTTACTCATCTCCACAGAGCAGACAGCATCCCCCAGGGCGTGCCAGTGTTGCCTGCACAGGTCCAGGCTCTCCAGATCCCAGTTGTCTCCTTCAGCCCCTCGGCTGGGACCAACCAGGACGCACCTTGCTCGCAGGGACACGATGCTCTCGCCTCCAGCTCCCTGGTCCAGCTTGCTGACATCCTTCAGCCCACTCCATGCGTGCAGCATCACCCTCCCAATCCATCCTGGAGGGAGGGAGGGGAGCACTTCAGCCACCCCATCCATCCTCACCCACTTCACGTTTTGTTTTTTGTTTTTTGGGGTTTTTTTTCCCCAGGCAGCCAGCCAGCAGAAAGCTCTCCCCCTGCTTTTCCAGCCTCAAAGCGTGGGATCGGGGCTGAGAGCCACTGAGGTCCTGAGTCACAAGCATCTCCTCTGCAGGACACGCAGTTCACCAGGGTTGTGAAATCCAAGGCATAAAACTGACAAGCAGAAAATAGTTCCTTGAATAAGTCTTCCTTCCGGCAGTCAGTCTTATCTTCTTTTCTTTTCCCTTTTTTTTTTTTTTTCCTCCCCCTTTCGGTAGACATGCCGCAAATGCAAAGAAATGAGAGAAGAGAAAAAAATAACAAGCAAAAAAACCCAGTTCTTGCTGAGGCAGGGTTTTCTTGTAAAGCTTCTCTTTCCACTCAGCGGGAGCATGAGCAAGCAGAATCACACCCCCAGGCACAGCTGCTCCCAAGGATGCTGGAAAACCAGCACCTCCACAAATGGGGCTTGGTCCAGCCGCTGTGCGTTAAGTTTTGATCCATTTTAGGGTCTGACTGGAGAGGAAAATCCTTCGGAGTCACCCATTTTCTGGTTGCAATGGATGGTCGCCCAAAGCAGCAGCGGGGTGCTGCGACCCCCCCCCAGTGCCAGCAGCACCTCTCCCCAGCTTCATCTTGAGAACTCTGTTAAAATCTTATGAGTATTTAGGCTTCATATGGGAAAAAAAACACATTGATTTTAATAAATATTTTATTTCTCTTTCCAAGGAAAACGTCTGGAAGACTGACACAAATCACGGTCTTTCTGATGCTCCAATTTTCAACCCTGCCCGGTAGAATAATTCTGAAATTTGATGCGAAACTAAATTTACTGACTGCCAACACACAGAGAAACAGATTTTTAAGCCCTACAAAAGCCATTCACCGCCTGAGAACGGACCACAGCTTTTGTCAAGCTCGGCAGTGATACAAAGTTTTCGCAGCAGGAACGGACTGAACCTTCATTCTGCAGAATCTGAGCTTGTATTGACCGACAACTACCAACACGCGATGCTGGGAGGCAAAAAGATGGCAAAAAAAAACTTACAGGTTTTGACTGGATGAATCCGAGGCCGAGATACAGAGATAGGTCATGTCCTGCAATACAAAGATGGCTGCAGTAATAAGACACCTCCAAGAAGCGCTAAATCCCCCATTTCTCTCTTTTCCCTCTCCCCAGCTGAACCCCTCGGTGAGGGGAAAGCCACCATCTGCTTTTGGGTACCATCACCCTGTTCCCCAAAGGGAGAAAGAGCCCTGACGGGTCGTATCTATCCCACCCGGGGCTATTTTCTCCCCATTTCAGCTCAGGGAAGAGCCCAACCTGTGGAGAACCCCTATGATCCTCAGGAGCCCCCCTAAAACTGAGCCACCCCTTTCCCGGGGGCCTGACCAGCGAGTCCTGGCAGGAAGACGTGTGCCATCACGCACTGATGAAGTCGCTCTCATCTATGAGTTATTTCCTCCCAGTCCTTTTAATACACAATAAATCATCCTGCCGCATGTCGGCGTAGGTCAGATTACTTTCCTTTCTTTAAAACATCGCTTCCTTGATCCTCCCTGTTCTGAGTTAAAATTAGATCCTTTTCATCCGAGGGGTTTCTTTTTTTTTTTTTTTTTTTTTTTTTTTTTTTTTTTCTTACTGAAATGGGTGGAAATCCTGCCAGCCAGAGCTGAAAAGGCCGAGCACCAGGGTTTGCCCCATCTCCATCAGCTCCCTGTGGCATCACTGCCAAAACATCCCCCCTGGGCTGATGCAGCCTGACCCCACAGACCACCCTCACTTCCCTGCAAGCCAGGGCAAACTGGGAAGCTGGAAAAAGCCGATTATTTAAGGAGGGAAGGGGCAGAGCGGGATGGACACGGGGATATTCCTGCGCTGGACAGACCCACGTTGCGAGGATGAGTGCGGGCAGGCTTTCCCATGCATCACCTCTCCATCCCATCCATCCTCCCCAGCCCTGTCCCACGCTCGCCCGGGGACAAGGTGCCACAGCAATGTGTCACTTGCCAGCTCCCCATGGCGGGCCAGCTGGCTGCTCCCCGCCTGGAGAAGCTGCCGGAGAGGCCGGGGTGGGGTTGGGGAACATTGGAGCCAGCGGGTTCCTCATCCACATCCCCGTCACGCAGCGGGGGG